GAAAAGAAAAGAAAAGAAAAGAAAAGAAAAGAAAAGAAAAGAAAAGAAAAGAAAAGAAAAGAAAAGAAAAGAAAAGAAAAGAAAAGAAAAGAAAAGAAAAAGAAACTGACTTTCAATGGGCTGAGAAGATCATTTTTTAATTTAGATTTCATAAAAATGAACCCCCTTTTCAATGTTACAGTACGTAAAGATTGCTCAAGAATCCTTGTAACTCTGTGTTGTTTTTTTTTTTCCCTTCATTAAGAAAACTCAAATTATTTATTTCCCTTCCATATGAAAAATTGAAGAGGCTAAGAAAGACACACGACCATACAGAATACTCATTTTAACTGCTTGGATGACAAGTCCATTGAAATGAACTGGCAAATGCTGCCAAGGGTACAAGAACTCAAACTAACTATTTCTGAATGGAGTGTGAATGCTGCAGGGGGGGAAGCCATTATTAAATGGCATTTTCTGTTTCAAAAAAAGAAAGAAAAAATGAAAGAAATACCCCATTCCCAGGAGAGTCCCTGGTGCTGGCCAATCAGAAATTATCCTACCTCATGTCACCAGCCCCTTGCATTTATATCTTTTAGGGTGACATACTATTGGTTGCTAGTTAGGCTCTATGGGAGGGATTAGTGGCACTCTTTGTGGCTTCCCCTTTAGGTCCTTATTTGGTAGCTGTTGATAGAGCAAGTCTTTCCAGCAGCTGAGCATCTTGACATACATTATTCATTAAGTCCTGGTGTTCAGGAAATATGCATATCCCTAGCTCTTCTGATATTTCTTCAACTCATTCAATATGTCTCTTCAACATTGCCTGTGAGTGCTTGGAATTTTACAAATGGCATTTTTACAATCAGAAGACTACACAGTTGGATTTCATTTCAGAGTACCTCCTGTGCACACAGTTGCTGAGAACCTGAAGATCAGCAAAAAGAATTAGGAGAGAAGGCATCTTTCTTCCTGAAAGTCTTTTGCGGTATCAGATAGCAAAGAACTGAACAGCTTAGATTTGGTAGTATAGAAAAAAAAAAATCAAAAATGCCTGAGGCAAACTATTTACTCTCAGTTTCTTGGGGCTACATAAAGGTAGGATTTTGTTTTACCTTTTAAGAACATTGATTTGCAGTGTGTGATTGCATGATTACTGGATATCACGAGTATTTGCGGATAACAGGGCTATGGGTAATATGCATATAAAGTCAAAAATCTGAAAAGCACGCCTTTGTTCAGCAGTGAGGATGAACTGCACTGCATACAGTATTTCTTATGTGCTGGAACCTGTAAAATAATGTTGCAGTAGTGGATAATTAGACAATACACAGTGCCATAGAAATTCAGAAGAGTTTTGTGTTCTTTTATGAAAGATTGCTACAAAAATGTATTTATAGATCTTAAAGGATTAAAAACAAAACAAAACAAAAAAATCACTAAAAACTGAGGCAGCATACAATAGGTTACAGCGTGATTAAAGAGGCTGAGGATAATGGATGAATGCATGACTCATACTGATTTTAACAGCTGAAGAAATGTGAAATTATCAACAGTATGTTTCAGCAGCGTTTTCTGTTAGCCTGTGCATGTGTGACAGTTTATTGACTAAAACACAGGGAGACTGAAAATTGTGTTCTTCTAATATTGATCTACATTATTATGCAGAGCAGCTTTGAACTAGCTTGAAGCTGCAGTTGTGCTAAAAAATAGTATTAAATCAGCTTTTAACTCTTTTATGGGAAAGTTTTGCACCAATAAATTAAATCAGTGTGTCAGTCAATGAAATTCACTTAATATCAAGCTAGGCTTGGGCACTGTTTTATCTCTGTTTGTTTATTTGTGCTTAAAAACAAACAGTGATATTTCCATACGGTTAATGAAGCATCATCCTTTGATTGACATGTAGTAATTCTTCCAAATAATCCCGTTTCTCTTTTTTACTGAATTAAGTGATGCAAGTATTTAATTAAATCACTAAATATTACAAACAAAATACTCACTGATTGAATCTCTTGTGCTTTTTTTGTATTGCTTCCTGCCTTTATATTTTATTTGTTTTGAAAGTGGAAGTGTAAAACCCTCATTAGGTCATTGTGTCCGATCAGGTCATCGTGACCATTCTCTGCTACTGCAGAATTGTTACGGTGTATTCTCAAGGATTTTGTTCAGTCATCTGTGAAGAGACTGGATTCTGTTATGCTGACTAGGTGGATTCCTTTCTCATTTATAAAAAAATAAGATGCAATTATTTTCCATTCAGCTAATAGAAAAGTATTTATTGTAATTTGCTTGGAAATATTTTCTGGATTGACAGACAGATACTGTGGTGTTCTTTCTTGCTCAATAACAAAAATTAAATCACCAAACTTAAAAAAAAAAGAAAAAAAATAAATCACTGTTACTTACCTTTAAAATGGTTACAGTTATTAATTAAAGCTGAGTAGGCAGCATGTAACTGCAGCTGATTACACATGGAAAATATGTCCTCTATTGTATAGACAGTGTCCTATACTTCGTATAGGTAATGATTTCAATATAAAAGTAAAGTAGTACTTAAATACAGTTATAGCATAGTGCTTCCTAAGTTCACAGCATGCATGTCTTAGGAAAAATGTGAAGATGTAGAGGAAGATCTACACTTACTGGCAAACAAAATTCAATAATTTAGAATATTTTTGAAATGACAAGAAAGACTGAGGTGTGTTAGGTCATGACATACATTTGCATTCCTTACTATTTATATATTTTACTTACTTGTCTGTGCTTCAGGCTATACTTTATTGTCTTCTTTTAAATTATATTGGAGAGAATTATGGCCTGATGGATGTAAGAGATTGGCTTTCACTGAGTATTGCTTCAATAAACATTAAAAACAGAAACCTGATGAATCTATAAGGCTGGCATATTTTCAGTTATGTATAATAGTTTAGTGTGTATATATATATATATAATTTACATATATATACACATATATATACAGTTAATATATATGGTATGTATAAATAGTACTGTTTGTTTTATTTTGAGTTATGAATGCCTTTCTAAAAAGTAGCTGTTTTGAGGAGCAGGTAGCCTGAGTGAGAGAGGTCCTTTTAGGGTATCTCCACCTAAGGCAGTTCTGCATGCTTCTCCCTATGCAAGTTAACTGCAGACTGTGCATTTATTGAAGCTTTTTGTTACTGAATCAAGGAATGACATTATGCAAAAGATGTAATCAGTAAACTGCATTTATATTAAGTGTGCAGACCAAACTTCTTCATAGCCATGAACTGATTTTCTGGGTAGATCTTTGTGTCTTCGGAGTTGAACATGAAGTTTCCTCTGGTTTACAGATGCTAAGTCTCCCCAAATTATATCAATCTGGTCACCATTTGGGAATAGAGTTACTGCGAAAGACAGTCCAAATTTTTTTACATAACTTTGCTGACATCATCAGAAATCATATCTTTTCCTCCACAGAGTTGTTTATTTATACCATCAGTTGGCTGTAATATATTTATACAGTGACATGGACACACAGAGCACAATTGTAGAAGGACTTTAACTACCCAGCTCATTCCTCAGTCTGTAATGTGTTCTTTGAAGATGACTGCTATTTAGAAACCTTTTCTTATCAACACATTTATTCTTATGCATTACAGCTTTCTTGGTATTTTCAGATTTTGTTTCTTTTTTTTACTAAACTCTGCTTGTGTGACAGCAGTATTCAGCAGTGAAGAACTGCATAATTGGCTTAATGGACATTTTATAGCCTGTTCATTTCCTGAGGGAATTTCCTAGGTGATAGTCAAGGGCAGTTATATTCTAGGGAGGTACAGAAATGTCATTTTTCTAATCTTACAGAGCCTAGCATGTAAAATGTGAAAACCTTTCTGAAGAAGAATGCAATATATGCATAACCTTTCCAAAAGCCTCCACTTTCTGCCTATATTGAGCTGACAGTATCGTAATTTAGTTGTATGATGTAAATGTAAATTTGTAACAGCAGGTTGGATCCATTGTGACTGATTCCCTCCAACTAGGAGAGTATGTGCTATTCAGTTTTTAAAAACTCTTAGTTAAAATGTGTTTTACATTTACTATTAACAACAAGAATTTCTTCATGGTTAGTTTGACTTATTGTCAAAAAGTGCTAAATGTTACTTCTGAGATGACAAATGATGAGAGTATAGGTAGTCTAGCCAAGTGGATGACTGAAGCAGTGTTGACTCACGGATAAAACAGAAACTCCTCTGATTTGCAGTGAGATCTTGTGGGAGCCACATGAGACTTAGGCAGAGATTTATTCTCAAGTAACAGTGCAGGGATACATAAATGTGTGGAAAGCTGATGTTCCTTGAACAAGCAACTGCATAGGGTTTTGCTTAGGCCTGTATAAAGTTTCTGAAGACTTGGTAAAATTAGAGGTTTAGATTTGGTGTATTTTTTCTTCTCCAAAGGAGATTTTAAACATGAAAGGATTAAGTAACATGCAGATATACTGAAACCAGATCATTTTTTGATTATTTTGCAATATCTCTGTCACTCTTCATTTCTTTTATTTCTCTCATGCTTTATTGTTCTTCATCAGAAACAGCTGTCTGCTTACGGTATACAACTTCATATGATTCAGTGTGGATGACAGTCATAAAGTTTAGTCATGTATAATTAGGAAATCAAAGCAGTTTTCTGAACTCCATCTCAGTCCTGATGTTTTCAAAATAGTTGTCAGTTAAAACCCATTCAGCAGCAGCACAACCTTTTCCAGGTTTTATGCTGATGGTCTAGCTTATGTGTTCAGGTGGCTTGTGGGTTGATTGGAGGAGGAAAGGCAGGTCTCTGCATCAGACAGAAATGTAGAAGTAGAAGGGACTAGTGTGCCCCATCAAGACTAGTACTCTGTTGCTGTGAGCAATAAATATTTATTTCAAAATTCCTAGAGAATGTACTACAAGCTCTTCAAGATGATGCCCAGTGCACAGTAAAAAACCCGAAAGCTCAAAAGCCAGAATTGTTCTCAGCACTGGAGAACAACAACACACAGGATATACTAACCTCTGTGTTTATATGATATTATTCTGTGTAATGTAGAGATAGTCCAAATGCTAAGCTCCAGCTGAGGGCAAAAAGGACTCCCAGTGTTTATTACACTGAACATGCTGGAAAACTTCTAGCTGCCAGTCATTATACAGAGTGTTTAGCACTGAGTGTGAGCATTGCTTGAGAAATGTAATTCTGCAGCATCGCGAGGTACTCCATCCACTTTCTGTAAGTGGAACTAGCCTCCAGTGTTAGGAAGAAAGATATTTTTCTCCCTTTCTGCTCAAAATTAAATATATGAATCAGAGAAAAAAAAAAAAAAATAACTTTTTTTTTTTTTTTTTTTTTTTTTTTTAATCAGGTAGCTGCAGAGGAGGCTTTTATAGATGAGTTCCCAAGCCATACTTATGAGCAGTGGCTAGATGAACCTTTTTTAAAGAGCAGCAGTTGTTTTTCTCTGCAGCTGCAAAAACTGAACGTCAGAGTCACCTATGCGGGCATATCAGGAAACAGCTAGATAGACACAGACTTGTGGAGAGGGATCCAGAGACATTAGCAGCATTAAAATTAAGAATGAGAGAAAATTGGGGCAGTAGTAAATATACTGATGACATATCTGGAAGTTAATGCCATTTTGTCAACTTCTGGCATTTGATTATTCCTATACATTTCATGTAAAGTTTCAGGTTCTGAATGTAGTGTGGGGAAAAGTAAGTCTGTGAGATTGTCATTGTGAATTATTTCTCACCTTGGGTGTGTGAAAAAAGCTGTGGACTTAAAGGCATGTTAACAGATTAAAGAAGGGCTTTAAAATGTATTTTCAGGACTTTTAGCACTGTTATGTTATTTTTTTGCAAGGATGGACTCCTTTTAAATATTTATAACACTGGTCACAAACATGTAATGTCACTGTAGAGGACAGTGCTGGTTTCATGCAGAATATGTAGCCATAAAGCTCATAGCTTACAAAGTGTTTACAGTATGGTTCAGATTTTCGTAAATCTGTTGAGCTCTTTCTGGCACATGGGTGTGTTTAAGATAAAAATTGTGCCTTTGGTATGTGAGAGAAGTAGCATTTGTTGTAGGAGTCTTTGTAGGAGGAAATTCCTGGGCTGATGGCATGTCAAGGTGGCAGGAAAATGCAGTGGCTAATGGTTAGAGTGTTACACTAAAGGTAATTTTTATATGGTGCACTGTGTGCAATACAGTAATTCATGACTTCCAAAGGCATTGTAAAGAAAATAATATCTTTAGCTGTGCAAAGCCCCTTTGAAGCAAAGGCTTTGATTTCAGTGGGATGAAATGGAAAAGAAATGGATAATGTTTTGTCTAGTGCTTTGTTTAATATATAAAAGAAGAATTTACCAATTTTCTACATAAAAAGAACTTCTACAGGGTTGTATACTAAGGACAGAGATTGCTTAATGTAACAAATAGTCATGACTGGGTGAACAAAGTGGAAGATGAGTCTGAAAATAAGAGAAGACGGGAAACTAATAAAAAATGAGAAGATGGTGAAATAGTAGACTAAGTTCCATTATGACAGATATTGATTTAAACTGGAAGGATTTTTTTTACTGGATTATGGGTATTGCTGAGTTCTATTTGTTGGTAATATCAAGACAGGTGTCAGAGCACTGGCACAGGTGTCAGAGCACAGAGGTTGTGGAGTCCCCTTCAGAAATTGCCTGAGTGTGGGCTTGGGCACCCTGCTTTGGCAGCCAGATGAACCTGAGGGATCCCTGCCAACCCCAGCCCTTCTGGGATTCTGCAAGGATGTCTTTTAATCCTGTATTTCTGAATGAATTAAGAAAGAACTATAATGATGCAATTAGCTGTAAGTGGTTGGAATGCTAATATCCTCTTGCATAAAACAGATTACCTGTGGGACTTGCTATCTCACAGGGAAAACAAGTTTTCATAGATAGCTGTTTTTTGTATCATATGGGTACTGGAAATTTTCTGAGGCATCAGACAGGGCAAGTCATCGAATTGACAAAAATAATTTTAAGAAAAACATAAGCTTAGTTCTGTTTGTACTGGCGTGTAGGAACTCAGTAAGTTTGATATATTGAAGGAGTGCCATCAAATATATTGTGTAGATCAGTGATGAGGCATGCAACTTGAACAGTTGTAAAATGTATCACCAAAAATGCACAGTAAGTTAATTTATTAGTACGATAAGACATCCTAATAGACAAGGTCTTGTATAAACATGCTTGCATTTTATCTTCCAATTAAAATGAAAACCTGAAAAAAAGATGCACTGTTTGTATTTTTATGCATATGCCTTATAGCTTTCACTTGAAAGTAAGATCCTGTGCCTAAGTAATTGAATCACTGTTCAGTATTTCTGGGAGTAAAGAATTATATTGTTCAAACCAGGATAAGGTAGAAGGGAAGAACAAAATTATATGTCATTTTTCCTTTCACTGTTACCTTAATTTAGTGTGTATTCTGACTGTTGTGTCCTTTGCCCTATTACAAGTCAACTGCATTCTCTCATCCTATCTGGAATATGTCTTGATCACTAATTCACAATTTATTGTTGTTGTTGTTCCTTTCCAGTTTAAACGTATGCTCAACCGGGAGCTTACTCACCTGTCTGAAATGAGCAGATCAGGCAACCAGGTCTCGGAATACATATCGAACACATTTTTAGGTAAGATAGTGATGGGAGCTTTTACCTTTTTGTTTGTTTTTTTTTTAAGGCTTTTAAAATTGCGTTGCTTTCCGTATTGCTTTCTGTCTTCAGAAGGTGTACATTCAGTATTTCATTGGCCAGTATTTGAGCAGAGTACGGTTGATCCATTCCATCACAGTTCATTTAGTTTGTGTGTGTAGTTCCCTGTAAATGTAGTGACAAATAAATATTCATCTACATATTGTCATGTAACGTTACAGTGATTGCTACCAAATTAAACAATGAATATATAATGAGAAGTATGCGATATATTAAAAATAGTTCTTCCATTCTGTTTCCCTTATGGCCAGAAGGAAAGTTAGAGCCAAACGGTTTCAGTGTGCAGAAAGCAGACAATCACAAGTAACCTCATTAAATCTCACAGTTCAAATGCTTTGGTATTCCCTGCCTACCCGTGAGAAGGCTGATGAATATGACTAAGTCAACATCTGAGCAGGCAGCTGCCAGGAGAGTTTGTGCAGCTAAAGAGCTTACTCTGTGGGATGCACACATCAAAAAAGTCTTATTGCAGTATTACAAAGGCTGTGGTTTCTCCTCTATAGTTGCGCAGATCGCAGTGTGTGTATCTTGATAAAACTGGTGAAAAGGAATAAGACTTGGTTCCATACAGCTGATTTTGAACAAGAAATAAAGTAAACAAATCTGCAGTGGTTCATTAAGACTGTGCATGTGAGGGGAGAGACAGCTAGTTATATCTAAATCAGGATAACAAATGTGTTAAGAAGTACTGATCACTCATAGGATCTTTTATTTCTGCCATAGTTGGGACATTTTTTGTGCTGCTTGTCACCATAATCTGAATGGATTGCTTAATGGGCTGGTTCAGATTATCCGTGATTGCAGTAGCATGCCTGAACACTGCACTGCAGCACAGCAGGATTTCTTACATGAAGGAAGTGATGAGCCTGTATTGTAGTGAATTGCTGTCCCTCAGCTTCAGGAGTCCTGGAAATGACAGTGTAATGTTGCCTGAGAAGATGACCTACTTAGGCTAACTGAAAAGATTGAGATACCAGTATCTGCATGTCTTTACTTGAAAACTTAAGGCTCATTTTGACAGGATAAGGAAATGTATTTGTCAGCCTTACAGGATACCTCAATCTGGAGCAGAAAGAGTGCTGGAGAAGCCATCACTTACAAATTACTGAGCCATGGATATTGTTTTGCAGCTGCATATAAATGAAAACCCATGCTTAAAAACATAGATGAAGAGGAATACCATGGGGAAAATAACTCCACTAAATCTTATGCTTAAATAAGATACTCGAATCTAATATTATCAAAATGCGCAGCCTAAATGTGTAGATTCTGAGCAACAATTAAAAGAAGGAAAGCATTCTCTCCGTGTATAATTCATATAATATATTAAATTATCTACTAAGACAGTAACTTATTCCTGAACATCTACAGACTCACATTTGAGATTTAGGAAGATGTAATGAGAGATTTTCACCAATCTTCAGAATGGATGAACTGCAAATAGAACTATATGACATGTACAAAATTATTTTAATGATAACAAATACATTCCTTTTTAAAGAATTAAAGCTCCTATCTTGAGACTGCTAATATCCAAGCTTTATATTTTTCAGTGTAACTAGCATGTTTTCCTGTGAATAGAAAGTGTAAGAGAACCTGCCAATGAGTATAATATAACCAGGGTCAAAATGGCAAGTTGACTTTTGTGGATATTGGTATGGTCCTGAGACACTTTATTTCATTGTTAGCAAAATACACAGGCAATCCTGTGGAATTCCTTAGCAGATCAAAAGTTGTTCAGACAGACCCTTCCTTTCACTTGAATTGTTCTGACAGCTCAGCTTATGAATCTCCCTTTGATGAGTCTAAGCATTGTGAATATGACCAAAACCATAAACATCAAAGCATGAACACGAGTCACTGTTCCTCATCTGTTGTCAGTTTGTACCTGTCGACAGCTGCAGTGCTTATCCTACCCCGTTTTTCCTGATTGTCCACATGTGGAGAGCCAAGTGTGGTGGGGCAACCAGGGAACTTGGTGCCACAGGCTAAATCTTGGTGACATTTTTGCAGTCTCTTCTTTTGCTCTGATTTGTTTGGAATTTGAGGAGTCCAGTAAATGAAGGCTGGTAAAGGGTAATTAAAAAGAGAACTGAAAAGGGGAAAAGTAACAAGCTAGAAATTAAGAATGGACCAGCTACTTTCATCTGGTTTCAAAGCCTTTATTGTAGATGACCATTGCAAGAAGAATAAAACAGACATATATTTTTTAAGAGCCCTGACTTTTTTTTATTGTTTTTGTTTCTTCTAAGAAATGAAATCCCAGTTTTCCTTCTGGAGTCTCACATTAGAAGTATGTCCCTGATATTCCTGGTTTTGCTGTGAGGTTTCTTAAGGGGTAGAAAACGTGCAGATATATTTTATCAGATAAGGGATGATTTAGAGGAAGTATTAAAGCACCACATTTAAACACAACATGAATGAAATGAACAAAAATTTGTGCAAAATACTAGCAGTTTTGGCAGGAAATCTCTCTGTTGCCCTAACTTGGGTTTCATTGGAGACCACAAAGTCTGCAGTGCTCTATACCCCCATGGTGTTTCTGCAATGATCATCTGGCAATGGCCTACAAATACTTTACTTTGCCTTTAATCTTTGACAGCATGGTAGAAAGTTCTACTGGCACATATGTTGATGAGGTATATGAAGTTATGCCACTGATTCTGCTGCTAAAGCAAAAACTCAGTAGAAAATGCTGTATTTTTTTTTAGCAGAATAGACTTTTTGTCAGAAATACTGTATTTATAGGTGCTATAAATTGTAAGAGAAAAAAGCTGCACTGCTGATGTGAGCTGCTTTCCCATGCAAACCATTTGTTGATATGGCTCCACCAGCAAAAGCCTTTCTGTGTTGTACAAGGTCTTAGCACAAACAGCTGTCAGGTCCTTGGAGTCCTGAGATGTTTTAGAAAAATTATAAAATATGGTCTTAATTTTTTGGTGTGTTTTTTTATTTTCCAGAAAAGAAGGAATTTTAAATTTTCTTGGCAAATGAAAATACAGTCTTCTGCTAATCTGTAGTAACTCGTTTTAAATTAAACAACTAATCCTGTTCTGTGGTAGTGCTGAGGATGCAGGGGAAGTGGAAATAAGACAGTCACAAGTCATATTTGAAGCCAGTTCAGAGATGATGCAGTTGATGATGCATAGTTCTGCTTTACTGATGTCCAGATCTATGTTTATCTTGTTTCTTGTTTTTACTGCTCTCAGTGTGAAGTATCTGCTGCAAAATCTACCGTGGCAATTATAAGTTCTGTTAAATTTAATGAATGTTTAATGAAACTTAACAGTGAAGTGGACAAGAATATTTTTAATTCATTTCAAAAATATTTTTCTTCATTCTTTTGAAGATAAACAACATGAAGTCGAAATCCCTTCTCCGACACAAAAAGAGAAAGAGAAAAAGAAGAGACCAATGTCTCAGATCAGCGGAGTCAAAAAACTGATGCACAGCTCCAGTTTAACCAATTCCAGTATTCCCAGGTTTGGAGTTAAAACAGACCAAGAAGATGTTCTTGCCAAGGTAGGCAATATTTAAATATTTGAATTTAAACCACTGAACTAAAAATAGAGAACTTATTCCATCCTCTGCTTATAACCGTGATTTCAAGCTATAGCAGTAAAGGATGATCTCACTTAAATATAAATCCAGTGAAGCGGAAAAGTAACAAGTGAAATCAGAATCAGGCCTTGAGGGTTGATTTCCACATGAACAGGATTTCAGCAGGAATACTAGCTGCCTGGAAATGGGATGTAAATTAGCAGTTGTGGATACAGTAATAGTGCTGCATATTCCTAAACAATACCTGAGGAATGAAGAGTGAGCTGGTATACAGTCAGAGGAATGAAAACATGTAGCAGCCATATGTTCTTCGAAAATGCACAACTGTATGTAGCATTAGAGCTATTGCTGCAAGTCCTGTCATTTGCTGTGTCATTTCATGCACATCTGTTTTTAAGGACACTTCTGTGATTTTGCATCGGTAACTATATGGCAATGATGTAAAACTAGTATAAAGTGATTATTCAATCAATTTTAGATGTTTGCTTTTGGAAATATGCCTCTCTGTATGTTCCCAGGAAGCCCCCACTTCATATGAACCATCAATCCATTGCTGAGATGTGGGGAGATGGCAGCAATTCACCCCCTCCTTGAACCTACCAGGCGTGAGATGGAAAGTGTGTCAGTTTTTTCAAGATATTGTACCATTTCTCCTTCTGTAGCATTCCACTTAAAAGTGGCACTCCTTGCCTAGTAGGTTAGAATCAGGAAAGGTGGTAGCTGCAAATGCAACTATTTCAAGGTTACTAGCAACAACTTTCCCCCTTGCAAAGTTTAGCATACAATATTTACAGGGCCTCTACAGCAGCCTTTGCATTATCATGGATCTGCTGTTTGTGAGTGTTTCAACTGAAAAATGCTGGAGTCTTGTATGTTAAGATTTCAGCATTGGTTCTTGCTCAATTCTGTTCTAGGAACTAGAAGATGTGAACAAATGGGGCCTTCAGGTTTTCAGGGTAGCCGAGCTATCTGGAAACAGACCTTTGACAGTCATCATGCACACCGTTTTTCAGGCAAGTAGGAGCAGTCTTGCAGTTTTGTGCTTATTTCAGAAATTTTGTTGGAGTTGGTAATCTGAATTGTTTCTCTTTTCCCTTTCTAGGAACGAGATCTGTTAAAAACATTTAAAATTCCAGTGGATACTTTAATAACTTACCTGATGACCCTAGAAGACCACTACCATGCAGATGTAGCATATCACAATAACATACACGCTGCAGATGTTGTTCAGTCAACCCATGTTCTGCTGTCAACCCCAGCATTGGAGGTAAATTATGCTTCAGTGGGAAAGAGACAAACGAGAGAAAAGGACATACTAATACTCTATGCAACTAAATGGGAAAGACTTTAGCTTCTGCAGTGTTTTTTCAAAAGAAATCTTGATGTTTCTTTCATGGATTACACTCTTTAAAAGATACTTTCTGAGGATCAAGATTTATTTACCAATAAATATTATGCAGAACGTGTCATATTTTTCTTAAAATCATGATCTAATACTTGCAGATTTGTGCTGCCATAACTTTATAACTTTTTCTACTGTCTCATTATTAACTGCTTCCTCTTCCATCATTATTTCACTTTTGGGACTCCCACTCACTACAGTGAAATTGCTTAGAAAAGATGAGGGTATAGTGGGCTTTACTCAGTAGAGCCATTTGCTTTTTGTTTTGAATTTGTGCGTGCTTGTACTGGCTATGGAAGGCTGTTTAGCTATTTCTGTGTTTATTGTCAAGCAGATTGGAGCACATGCTAAATTTTCTCTGGATTATCTAATTTTTTTCATAAAAAAAGTGATAGGGGTGCAGCCCTCATTACATCAAGCACTGACATATCCCAGTGAGGTGCTGGAAAAAGGAATGTAAAGCAAGCAGGTGAACAAAGGCTTTGTCCTCATTTTCAAAGACGGGCTGCATTTTAATTCCTTTTCATTGCAACCAATCTTTCAAATTACTGAATTCCTCTGCTCTACTTTCCTCTTAACGGGAGGGCCATCATTGGATCTTAACACAGTTGGCAAAGATCCTTAAAGTCTCAGGAGTTCTCTTGAGAAATATTTTAATCATCTCCAAAGGAACATGAGACCATGTTCTTAAATCGCTCTGCCTTTACTAAACAGCTGAGCTGATTGTAAGGTCCTTTTTTTCTCTTTCTGTTAATTAATCATCTGTTTCTTATGGCCTTGTTCTCTGAAGCTTTGTGAAGTAAAATCTGCCCAATGCTATTGCTGACCTATGTATTTCAGTCTTGTTGATCAGTTATGAAAGCCATTATATAACTTGAAAGCTTGTGACAGAAGGAGCATGGGCTCAGTAACATAATGGATCCCTTGCAGTTCTTGCTTCCTACCTTTCTGATAATCTCATATGGAATAAAAATCAATAAATGTTAAGTAAGATATCTTAGTAGTTTATCACCATTTCTTCTCACATCACTGAGGAGATGTTCTTTCTTCAAGTGCAGGAGTATGTGTTGTTTGTGTAATGTAGCCTGGAATTTTTAGCTTGAGTTTCTACTATAAATCAGAAATCTAAATCTGTAATTAATGATCTAATAAAAATGGACTTATTTGCAGACTGAAACTGAAAAATACTTCAGTTATTGAATTTAGTGAAGCTGTCAATGTGAAATAAGGATAGCTTTACTTTGGGCAACCTTGAAAATTTTATGAAATTCTACATGACTGATGATTTACAAAAGGTTTTAGTAACCTATATGTAAAATATATTGAGATTCCTGATGCATTTCAAATGTGTTTTGCTTGTTCAGTCAGATCTAGATTCAAAGTTGAGTTTTTTTGGTTTTTGTTTTGTTTTGGTTTTATACTGAAAACAGTTTTTCATTTATTAGTGATTGTCATTTCTGTTTCATGGTTTTCTAGGCTGTGTTCACTGATTTGGAGATTCTTGCAGCAATTTTTGCCAGTGCAATACATGATGTAGATCATCCTGGGGTTTCAAACCAGTTTCTTATCAACACAAGTAAGTTTCATGTTCAGTGGTTTTCTCAAGAATTTGCTGCAAAATCTGCACTTAGCACCTGAAAAATATGCAGTTAACTCCTTGTTTGTTTGCATCTGTACCTTCCTTCATTAAATAGGCAGATGTTTATATATAAAACTGAATACTATTTTATATTATCTGTTACTTCAGACATAAAATACGCGTAGTATCCACCAGCAGAATTAAGATATGAAGTATAATTCTGGCACTGTTTCAGTGTATTGGATATTGTCTCTTTCCTAGAAGTTAGTTAGTTTGTATAAATTAATTAGATAAAGTTGTGTAAGATAAAGGAAGATTAGAAAAAAGAGAGGTTATGTTGGAATCATACATTATGACCAAGGATAGCCATACTTTTTGAAAAAAATATAGAAAATAAGTTTCTTTTTAGAAAACAGATCACCAAGACCATCTCTGCCTCTCCCCAGCTGTTGTGCTTATTTTCTCATCTTGACACAGTCATGCCTCTCGGACTGAATTTTCTCAGCCTACCCCTGCAAACTGTAGCAAATCTCTTTTTTGTCAGTCTAGATTGTGCTCTGTGTATGGAGGAAAATAAACTAACAAAGTGAGATCCTAATGCCATCTCCAGATTTGTTGTTTTTCTGCATTTTTCATGGCTGTTCTGTGCAGCATCGCATGGATTACTTCCTCTCTTTTATCTTCTGCTCAAAAAGCACTGCGAGTCTCATTGAGTACAACAGTGGCATATTTACTGAATGGCTTCTTGCCACCTGTAATTTGCTTTGATTACAGTGTGGGTACCATGCTGTCAGTCAGTGCAAGTTCTATCTTAAAATATTATTTATTTTGACATCCTTTGTCTTCTCCTTTTACTAACCCAGAAGTACAGAATTGAAAATAATGCAAAATATCCAAGTACATAAGAAGAAAAAGCTACATAAATGAGAACACATGTAGGGTTTTGTGTTTGACCCATGCAGTTTGCACATTCACAGGCACTGTCATTTAGGCACATGCATGAATCTGTTCCTCTGGTTCTAAAATAGTATGACCTCATATCAACAGGATAGTCTGAAGAAGGGAGATCCTGTTCTGACTCATTGCTGCTGTACATTCAGATAACACTTCCAGTCTAGCCTGCATCTAATTTTATTTGCCTGAATGGCCTGAGGGCTACCCTGTAGTGAAATTCAATTTGGTGACTAATCTACAAGGTAGAGGAGATCCCTGTGTTGGTAACAAGTGCAGTTCAGCAGCGTGGTGCAGAAATGTAGCAAACCAGGCATTGTGCATGAAACTGTGTGGTGTCCAAATTCTTTCATTTTTAATAGAAATTGGATATCAGGTGATATCTGTGGCTCTGAGGTGCTGTGCGGAAAGTTTTTTTTGAATGTTGTTTAAGTTAGCAGTAAGAATGGCTAGATGGGGGGACCAGAATTGCTATGTGAAACTCACCTTTAGGCAGATGGTTGAAATTCAGCTGAATTAGCAGTAATTTTGGTTTAGCAGCTTAGAAGAAATGTCCTGTCCCTCTCTGTTCAGCTTTAGATAGAGAAGGCTTTTATGTAAATCAAGTAGTGTCACCAGCTGGAACTACTGTTGCCAAGCTCAAAGGAAATGGGATTTTTGTCACTTGAGTTGTTACATGTATGAACCATACGAACAGAGACAGACAAAGACCATTTAATTTAGGTTTGTTTAGGTATCTACTAACTGACATTTTCAATGAGAGCTTGAGAATCAGTGATGACATGGATTATACACATACAAAATTTCTCAAATCTGAGATTTTTCTAACCTCCACAAGATCATTTTCTTCCACTTAGGTTTAAGTTTTCCAATGAAACTTAGAAAGTATTAGCATTTCACTAAGAATTGTGCAAATACTTAAGCTTAATTGATCTCCAGTTACCTTAATTATGTACTTATTTCCATATTTCACATTATTCTTTATAATTATTTATATGTGATATTTATAAGTATTGCTTCCCTTTTTCAAAGTTTAAGGTCTATTTACAAAGCTGTCCAAAAATGTGATCCCTCAGAAATACTATTAAAATATAAACAGATATGGATTGTATTAGTGACAGGGTATATAACTATTTGATCATTTTAAGCTTGCCCTTTCAGACAAATAGTCTTGAAGGTTACAGTGTGCTACAAAGTTTACCAACAAGATGAACTTTCTTCCATTTCCACCTCCATTACGTAGTTAAACACGTTTTAGCTCAGTCTGTAATTCCAGCCCTTCTGAAGCAGTTCAGCAATGATAAATGCTTTGCAGATGGAGTAGCTTTCAGGATGCTATTTGGAAGGAAGATGAACTGCTACCTGTCCTCTTTGTAAGAAAAATGATAAGTAGGCAAGCTTTGTAAGTATTCTGTGAAGAGATACAATTTGACAAATTTGCTTTCTTTTTCCTTTTACTATTACATTTTTGCTGCAGTCAAGATAAGGGAAGGTAGAGGAAGATTTTCTCAGTTTATGAGATCAATAGGTTCAGGACAAGTGAGGAAGACAGCAGGAGAATACGTAATGAAACTAATGAAATCTGAAGAGCAGGGCTTTTATAGGCACCCCACTGAGCCAGAGGAATTTTGAAACAAAGCTGTGATAAAGGAAGATAAAGTGACAGGGTTTAGAACAGACTTGCATATGGTTAGATTTCAGATAGAACAACTAAGAAATAGAAATTAATGTCAGCACTTCACAAGCGTAATTGTATAAAAAGTATGTCTTTTTGATAATAGATTTATTTTCAAGCCAAGCTGGCTGTGTGGTGTCCCTGTGTGAAACCTAAATCTGTGTAGAAAATTGTCTTAACTGCCTTTATTTGTCAAAGCTGACTGTTCAACTGTTTGTATATGCCTCAGTACAGGCATTGCTAAGAAGGGAAATGAGTTCCACTTGCTCCTGCAACTACCTGAGTGACTGACTGAAGAACACTTTTGTTAGAGATAGCAGCATTTTGGCATCAGGAGTTAAACATACTCAAATATGAGGCTGTAGACAAGGCCACTACTTGCATTTTCAAACCACACAGAAATGTATTACTGTCCTATGAGTCTTCTCTACAGACGTCCTGTTCTCATAGACTAAAGACCCCTAGGCCTACTTGTGTGATAACTGCAGAAGTACATTGGAAACCAAGATACATGCTCTTTGCTTGATCTGCAGCAAAGCTTCAGCTGTGTATTCCCAGATCTGAGTAGCTGATAGATACAACTTCACTTAAATAATTGAATTTTTGCACGCATGGTGGCAACAAAGACAGGACTAGGAGAAAAAAACATTAGAATGTGTTTTAGTTTGTGCATTTTTGTATAATGTTTTCTATATTGTTTCGTGCGTAGATGAAAAGGTATTCTGAAAAATATCTTCCTTGTGTTGTTTTCTAACTCACCATTCCAGCACACTGCACTGCAAGGCTGGCTTTTTTCCAGCATACTTTTCCTTGATTTGTTAAGATATTCAGTTAATTCTGTAAGTTTTGGTTCTATGGGAACTACAGGAAGTCTGTTACTGAAAGCTCATCTGTAAATCTTGTTAGGAATGTAATGAGTTTGAAAAATCATAAGGGATTTAGTGGAAATAAAGATTTTAGTAACATTCTACCCTATGACTATTATTGCAGATTCTGAACTTGCTTTGATGTACAATGACTCATCAGTACTGGAGAATCATCACTTAGCTGTGGGTTTCAAGCTGCTCCAGGAAGAAAATTGTGACATTTTCCAGAATTTGACCAAAAAACAGAGGCAGTCATTAAGGAAAATGGTCATTGACATTGTGAGTTCTGTTTTAGAGTCTTTTTTCCTCAGAGCCAGTGAAATAAATGGTAAAACACAGTCTCATTTTACATGATGTTAGATCTATAATCAATGAAATAAAAATTTGAAGTTTTATTCTGTGTTGTCCAAACATAAGTAGTGAGTTCTTTTCAATTTGAATTACTGACTACCTTTTTAGAAGGTACACAGTCCTGGTTCAAGCTGTTTCATAATTGATGTGTAAGTCTGCTATTACACGACCATAGTTACAAATTTTCTACTGAACTGATGATGGACACTAGTGGCACATGGGACTCAGACTTCTGTAGTATATTCAAATTCAGGCACAGAAGTTACATTTTTTCCCTGAGAATAGTTTGTTGCTGCATCCAAAGGCTTTTTTAAAGTCAGTAGAATAATTTACATAATACTCATTTATCCATTCTTTCTCTTTTATTGTTTATTTCAAGGTCCTTGCTACAGACATGTCTAAGCATATGAATCTTTTGGCTGATTTAAAAACTATGGTTGAAACCAAGAAAGTGACAAGTTCTGGTGTCCTACTTCTTGATAACTATTCAGATAGGATTCAGGTAAGAAAACTCATCTTCAAAGAGTCATTTGTATTAATTTCTGTTAATAACTTTTGCCTACAAACCCCCAGTGTGGATTAGGTCAGCTGTCCATTTTCACACATTTTATGACTCGTTCTTTTTCCTCTTTCGACTTACATGTTTCTTACATGTGACGTATTCCATTACATACTGAGTGATACGGTGGAAAAGTACTTGTGGACTGGTTTTGGTTTTGCCCTATTGTTCAAATTACCAACATCTCATTGGTCTTTCTCTGAAATATTTTCTGTCTCTTACATAGGCAGAAGCAGCAGAAGTGAGGTAATTCATAGCTATTACTGCAAGTGTGAAAAACATCCAAATACTGAGTTTTGCTGCTCAGAATAGATCTTGCACTACATGTATTTTCATGATTCTGCTTCACAGCCACCAAATGTGTAAATGGAAAAGGAGCTGTTTTTCTTTAGTGTAATAACACAGCAGGTGTTCAATCTATTTTAGGTTCTTCAGAATATGGTGCACTGTGCAGATCTCAGCAATCCAACTAAGCCACTCCATCTCTACCGCCAATGGACAGACAGAATAATGGAGGAATTCTTCCGCCAAGGAGATCGGGAAAGAGAGAGAGGAATGGAGATAAGTCCCATGTGTGATAAGCACAATGCATCTGTAGAAAAATCACAGGTAATTGATTTGGTATGCCTTTCTTGGGAAAAGAATGTCCAGAGCCATTCTTTATATTTTGGTATGTTTCTGAAAGTGGTATTTCTTCCCCTCTTTCCCCCTACTTCTCTCCACAGTTAATTAATTCAGCTCCTGTGTAGCAAGTGAGGGGAGCTGAGGTTCTTACTGTGGAAACAGTGCATAGCACTGTGCTTGCTGAAGGAATTCCATCGCTATCGTGATCTGCTATGAAGCACTGGCTTCAGTAAAGAATATTTTATAGCTGCTCATTTAGGATTTCTTCCAAAAGCAGAATTAAATATGAAACAGCTGTTTGGCTTGCTAGATGCAGTGGAATCATTTGCAAAGAACAATTACTGTGAAAACAAATCCTTTCCAAGTCTATATCCAGAATTCTGAATGAGGCATCTGAAATGCTAAAAGACCCTGTTCTCTGCATAGAACAGCAAGGGTTACTTTCAGACACCTTAAGAGCAGTGTGTCTAGTGTCTCTTACTAGAGTTATCTTTCTCAGACATTATGTTCTGTTTATTTTTGACTGCATAAATACCTAAAGCTTCTATGCAGTAAATAGTTTAAATGACTGTGACTTATATGCATGGTTTATTATTTCTTTGTGAATAAGATCTCACCCTGATTTTGTACTACTTGAAATAGGTGGGCTTTATTGACTACATTGTTCATCCTCTGTGGGAGACCTGGGCAGATCTTGTTCACCCGGATGCCCAGGATATCTTAGATACACTGGAGGACAATCGAGAATGGTACCAGAGCACAATTCCTCAGAGTCCCTCTCCTGCACCTGAAGACCAGGAGGAGGGTAGGAGACAGGGCCAGACTGAAAAATTCCAGTTTGAACTAACACTGGAGGAAGATGGTGAGTCAGACACTGAAAAGGACAGTGGAAGTCAAGTAGAAGAAGACACCAGCTGCAGTGACTCAAAGACCCTTTGCACCCAGGATTCAGAATCTACTGAAATTCCTCTTGATGAGCAAGTAGGGGAAGAAGTAGAAGAGGAGGAGAATCAGACAGAAGCTTGTGTAGTAGACCATTCTTCTGACACGTAACGATGAGGACATAGCTTGTTTCTTTCTTGCCCTCTCCCTTTTTCTTTCTCTTTCTCTCTCTCTTTTTTGTGGTTTTTTGTTTGTTGTTGTTGTTGTTGTTGTTGTTGTTATTGTTGTTGTTGTTGTTGTTGTTGTTGTTGTTTTAATTAGGTAATGGTTTAAAGTGTATGTTGTATGCTATCACCGTGATCACAACTCACTGTCATCAGCCAGGATGTTTGTTGATCAAAACTGACCTTGGTGACTCAGTTTGGCACTCAGGAATATTGTAACCAGAATCTTCACCTTCATTGCATCAGAAAGCAGGGGAGAGAACATTGATAAACTACGTTTTAATAAGCTCTCCATTTCGCAAATTTGATTAAATAAAGCAAATGTTTTCACAGGAGCGCCACCTGAATGCTGGTATACTTTGGTAGTTTTTGATTTTATTTTACTTCACAAGCTAAGCATTGGATAATGTTCATCATCAGAGGAAACAGAAAGAAAATAAATTGAGGTTCCTGCTGGAAAACAAATGCACACAAACGATGGAATACAACATGAATCTGTATAAGACGAATCTGTCACCAATAGGAAGATGAGCTGTGGAAATTACATGATTTTCTAACTTCAAGTCTTCCTGATGAGTGACTGAAAGAAGTGTGACACGGTGGGTTGCACTAAACTCTGCATTTTGTATAAAATGTAAAAGTGATCTTTCGTAGAGCTAACTTTTATTATTAAATGTACTGAGGTATTATGTTTAAACAAGAACATTTTCAGATTTCATCACATTTTTTTTCCAAAGAGTAACTTGCAAGTTTTCAGTACAAATCTGTGCTACACTGGATAATACTTCTAGGGTTTGGTTTTTTTTTTTTTTCCTTATTATTTTGCACCTTAGAATTTCATGATAATATTAAGTTGTAAGAGTTTATTGTTTTATATATTAACGAGTTCCATGAATATCCTTTATGCTACCTAAAACTCATTCAGTATGATGGCATTTTTTTGTTGTTGTTTTCATTATAATGTTCCCAAACATATTAGAGGAAGTTTTGCTGTTGTTCTTACAGTGGCTTGATCCTGGCAATTCTGTCTTACTACCAAAATGGTCCTGTTGATACCAGCTGGACCACTAAGATTAACATTTGCAGGAGCAGAGCCAGTAAGAAAGATAATGAATTGTCTTTTTGATATGAAGACTGCTTTTTTGTCTCTCTGAAACACAATTTTCAGATATTGTTTTGCCTGGAAACTATAGACTGCTAAGTCAGCACAGGCTAATACAGTGTTTGGGATATTTATTTTGGCAAGGGAAGCATTACTGTAATGTTTCCAATTCTGACTCTTTGTATTTTTTTTTGGTCTGTTAGCTATCTAGTCAGACCATTTGCTAATCTCTGACATACATACAACATAGAAATCATGATTAGCATTACTGTTTTCATGTTTCTGCTGCCGGAAGAGCCAGATCCCTCTTTTGTGTTAATACTTCTACGTAAATGAGCAATGCATTATGAGAAGAGGTGTAGTGTACTCTACATTATTATTATCTCAGATCTTTTCATTCTGTGTAGAGCTTGCGCTGAGGGAATCCTACTTTCAAGTCTGATTGGTACTGAAAGCTTTTGTTATTTGGAAAACTCAGTGAAGTTAGGAGCTCATATTTGTTATTTTCCTGACCTTTTGGGTCACGTGAAACAAAATAATTTCATCTGCACTGCTTTGCACTTCATTAAAATTTTATAAAATTTTACATAAAATTGTAGTTTTGACTAGGGAAAGAGTTGCCTGGAGAAGGAGTAGACTCCCACAGTATCAAGATAGAAGGCTTCAGAGAGACCTCATTTTGGCCTTCCAGGACTTGAAGGGAGTGTATAAACAGGAGGGGGTACAGTTATTTAAAAGGGTGGATAGTGATAGGACAAGGAGGAGAGGTATTAAACTGAAACAGGGGTGGTTTAGGTTAGATATTAGGAGGAAGTTTTTCACACAGAGGGTGGTGATGCACTGGAACAGGTTGCCCAAGGAGGCTGTGGATGCCCCATCCCTGGAGGCATTCAAGGCCATGCTGGATGTGGCTCTGGGCAGCCTGGTTTGCTGGTTGGTGACCCTGCCCACAGCAGGGGGGTTGAAACTAGATGATCATTGTGGTCCCTTTCAACTCAGGCCATTCTATGATTCTCTGATACTATGATTCAAGATTATTTCTTAACGAAAGAAAATGTCAACAATCATATCCAATTTGGATTCATTTCTTAGGAAAATTGCAAGATATAAAAACAAGTGGTTTGTTTGTTTGTTTGTTTGTTTTTTAAGTGTCTGAGGTCTAGAATAAGAACTTGTTTAAAAAGTATTGGCTCACAGTTCAGCTTTTAAATGTATTTTGCATTCTCCTTTATCCAGGTCAAAGTTTTCTCTACTTCAGCCCTCACAGGGCTTTAGCACAGATGATGCTGAAGGAGGAAAGAGAAAGAAGAGAACTCATGTTTTTTCATGTTTTGATTTTTTTGTTCTTCATCATTTCTTCCCGATCCACCTAAAAATCTTCTCAATCCCCAAGAGTGCCTGGAACTTTAATAATGGAAAAGCAATATAAATTCCAAAATAACCAGTGAAACCTGAAAAAGTTTTATATCTGCACAAATTGAAAGTAAATGAAGAAAATAACACCATATTGTGAAATATATACCCATACATACGGACAATCACATAACAGAAGATGATATCATTTCTTAGAGATGGGGATATAATGCACTGTACAATCTTTTTTTTTTTCCTCTTTTGCCAAAGTGTGTTTTAGCATTGTGCACTGCTTTAAAACAGTACAACTTACAAGTGGCTTTATGTGTTCTGAGTATTTTTGCCATAAGAAAATGCAATGAATTGGGTACTGAGTGCAGCAACGGGGAGGGGGGTAAGAAAATTCACATTGCTTATAACAGTACGCTTTAGCTTGCAAGTTACTGTACTCAATAATGCTGTGTTTGAATTTTTAACTGTTTTGTGTCATTGTTAAAAATTATAATGAAAGGATATAGATAGAACAAGCAGCATTCAGAAGTTTAAAAAACTTGAATGAAATGGATTTTACAGAAAACTTTGACAATTCTTTTAAAATGCATTATTTATTTTATTTGTGCCATGCATTTTTCTCACCAAATGACCTTACCTGTAATACAGTCTTATTTGTCTCTGTTTACAACTGTGTATTTATTGTAATGTACATACTGTAATGTTAATTGTAAATTATCTGTTCTTATTATAACATCATCCTTGTCTGGGTGGTGTTGCTATATTTGGAAACTCTTGGTGAGAGAATGACTATTGTGTATACATATTCCTTGTACATTTTTTTCTCCTGTAATATATTCTGTGTCACCTTAGAGCTTGTTTATGGAAGATTCAAGAAAAGTATAAAATACATAAAGATATATCAATAAAATTAAAAAAAAAAAAAAGAAAAAAAAAAAGCTGCAGGTCTTTGGTCCCAGGGCTGTGCCTTAACTTCAAACAATATTTTGTTCTGTTTTGCTGCATTTGAGGTAGCTTTGGGGATAGGGCTGGGCATATTTATCATATTTTCAGTTGCTAGCTGATGTGGTTACTTGTGCAAGCTAGTTTGCATGATACTACAGAGAGCTTTCATTCATAAACATGCTGGAAGTTGAAGCTTTTCCAGACTTCTGGCAATATAATTGTATTGCCTCTCTGATTATCTTTTTACAGGCTATCATCAGGGATTACTGCAGCCATTACTTGCTACTAAAAAAACATTGATGTTGTATTTCAGTACTGAATTGTGCTGAACAAGCTTTGGAAAGCATCTCTAATAAGCATTTGGTTTTAATGCATATTTGCAAATGAAACAAATGGAACTAAATGGGGATAGCTCATATACTTGTTTTTTAAAGATCATCTAATACTCTTTATTTAGTAGCACAAATTACCACTATATAAGCAGAATCAATAAAGTAGGACAAAAGACCGCTTCAATCTTGGAAATGCTTTCCAACACTAATATTAGTGTTATAAGCAGCCAAAGCTTTTATTTTGTATAGATGTATGTAAGGCTTTGTACAGGTGTGTATAGCATAATGCACTAGATCTATAGGAGAATGATAGGCCTCTAGATCTTTTAATAACACTAGTATTAGGTTTGCAGGTTGGACTCTGAGCATCTCTTGCTGTTTGAGTATCATGTTGCTCCAAACTGCGTAGGACTGATAGCAGTGGATTTGCCAGAGTAAGGTAAATACCTCTCCTCATTCCAGTGATGCCCAGCCCCTGTAGCATGCGACCTTTTGTTAAAAGGAGTGATTCTTTTTCAAGAGAAAACAGAGCCTCCTTTTTGACACAAACTGTAGATTTTAGCAGCCCTGGCCCAAAGAAAATGGATTGCTTTTGTTTTAACAGTATAAAAGGGACACTATAACAACAAAAATCCTGAACAACTTTTTGTTATTAATTTGGGGATGTCTTGAGAGTGGCAACTTGTGTGAACATTGCACATGACAATTCTTTCACTGGTTTCTTAGCCTCTCTTACAGCCTGTGGGATAGTACTGTACATCAATACCTTCATATGAAAGTTTTATATGCAATGGAAATAAAGCATGTGTTGATTCTGCCTAGTTACCGTATTTGATTTCCTTTTGCAAGTTTTTTGTTTTTTTTCCACTTACGTATCATAGCTGTGACACCTCAAGTAAAAGCATTTGCCAGAATAATTATATTGCAGTATTTTTCTTCATCATACTATAGTATGGGTAGATAATAAAAAATAAATGTGGGGGTTTATCACATGAGATGAGTCACTCAAATGTGATAGTTCATGAAGTCTAGTCAAGAGAAGAGCTATGCAGTTGTCTAGAAAAGCATTCAATCTCAATTTTATGAAATTTTAATATTTACTTTAGTTGCAGAAGAAGCATATCCCAAGAAAATTAAGTAAGTGTCAGCTTTAAAGGAGCTAGGAAGGTAGGGATTGCCTAGAGAAGCAATACACTGAAATAGCAGTAAGGGGGCTGGAGAGAAAGGAGTGTATTGTAATTATATATTGACCAGACAATCTCTGCTCTACATGAATAAAAAGATTTTTAAATTAGCTTCTTAAATGGCAGCTCTTGTCCTGAAGAAGAAATTCTGCAGAATCATCATTCTTAATGCTCTTGAAGTGGTTTTCATAAGCCTTCCCTTGATCAGAGTGATTTTTGGGAGTGGAGATTCTTTGCATAATTGAAAATACAATGGCTGCTCTGAGAGTAATGCATATATTTTATGATGTTGGCCCATGATGTCAGAGGCAGATGTTGGTGGTGATGTACCTTTCAACCAGTATTCCATTAACATGTTGTTGCTGTGTGATAGAAGGTTGCAAAGGGACAGTCTGACAAAATGGTGTCTGACGTGGAAGCGCATGGAGCAAATGTTTGTCATTTAATTCCACCATGTGGAATAAAGGCACCCACTGACATTCATTGATGCTTGCTGAATATTTATGGGGCCCAAACAGTGGAGGCGAGCACAGTAAGGTGGGTAGGTGGTGCATTTCAGTGGTGACAACAGTTACAGAAGGTCACCTCTGCTGGTGCAGATTTTGATGGGTTTGGCATGCAGGCTCACCTGCATGGCTGGTGAAAATACATAGCTCAAGGTGGTGGCTGTGTTGGAAAATAGTGTTTTATAGCTGAGAATTTTCCCTATCAAATAGTGTTACCGTACTCTTTATTGTAGTTTCCATGGAAATAATGAGACATTACTTTCAGAGCAACCTATGTACTTTTGAATTAATAATTTAAAAAACTCTTATCCCCATTCTTGAGACTCTTAGATCCTCCCTTGGATTTGGAGTTAGTCTGCAAGGAGTGCAGTTGTTAGAACTCCTTTTGAACCACACTTATTTGGCAGAGGAGGCTGTTGGTCTGGGCTGAGAAGAGGAAGGAACTTCATAGAGTGCTGCGGGGTAGATAAAGCAGGCTGTGCTCCTCACCCATGCCTTGCCTGTCCTCACACTTCCCAGCATCCCCTATAGGAAAATACATACAGCATGGCCAACATATGGAGGGGAAGAAAGAACCCCACATTCCTGCTATTGAAACCTCTTCAGTCAGGAACTTGGATAGCACACATTGTGCAGGTGATAGTCTGAAGCTGGCAGGGCAACACCACTGCTTCCCTCACCACACTGCCTCTGACCTTGTTTGTGGCAATATTAATGCTTCAGATGGACAGTCAAGAGCATAATGAAAATGGATCCCTTGCTTCCTTGCAGTCAGCTGTGGCTATGGGAGCTGAATATATTTTTGAACTTGTGACTTCTCTGTTTTCTAGGGAGAGAAACGGGCTGAATAACTGCAGCATTGTTTGGTCATTTTCTGCTGCACTGAAAGCAAAAGTCACAGATGTTATCAAATCTTCATTTTAGTTTAGCCTACAAGGTGAAGAAAATGTCCATTCTGGTTGAGACACCTGCGAAAGTAATAAAGAATAGGATGTTCAAAGAGCAGAGATTAGAGTGACAAATTTGGAGAAAAACTTGGGAAAAGAGAAATATGTTTAAGCTAAAATAATCTCATTCCATCAAAAGTGATCCTGTAGCTTGGACATGGACATGTTAGAACTGAATTTGACTTTGTTTTATCTCAGTTCTCCAGGCACAAAGCTGTTTTTTTTTTCTTCTTACAAAGGAAGTATGTTGAGGTCATTGGAGCTATTGTGGTAATAAGAACTATGTGAGTGTTTCACAGACATTCAGAAAGTCAAAAATTATTCTGATGCTATACAATTTAGCAGAGGTTTAAAGACTAAAAATGTGAAATTTTTAGTGCAAATGTACAGATGAGCTCTTAGCACTGAGAGGAGGAGAGTGACGACATAATTGGGTACACAGCCCACAATGAGAGCAACAGATGCTAAGTGCAGCTCTGTCCTGCTCTAACAGCATAGTGCTGACAAGTTGTATGGATGGCAAATGAAGATCAGAAGGTTCCACATTGGAGGGTTGCCCCCAGGCATTAAAACTCTAGCCTCCACCGGTCTTACCTAGTGCCCTCCATTGGGGCTATGGAGTCAGATGACTATGATGGCAGCATCCCTACCTTGCAGCTGAGTTTATTTCTTATCTGAAGAAGCCTGGAAAAGAAAATGCAGGTTATGTAGCACATAGCGTATGCGCTATGTGGATAAGTGTTGTATATGCAGGGGACATGGCATGCAGCAAGTTCTTGTGGGCCATTGCTACATAAGTCAAGACAAAGACAGGTAAAGGTGGTTTAAAAGCATCGGCACCTTTTGATAGTTGAAACTCTTCAGAAACAGTACACTAAATCTCTTACAGACTTATTTGGACTGACCAAACCAAGGGCTGTGTGTTACCATGTTCTCAGACCATGGTAGGTGCTTCATGCTGCTGCCAGGGGCAGACTCTTGAGCCATGGTGCTGGCTGAAGCCCTATCCTATAACTATATCCACTTTGATGCAAGGTACACTTGAATACAGAGACATTGGGTCATGTCCCTCCTCTGATGATGGAAAGTACCGCAGCAGCTGATGTAGAGCTGCACACACAGCTGGCTGTGCACCTACAGCCAGGCACTTCTCTTCCGGCACCTGTGTTACGAGAAGATCCTACACAAAGCAGTCCTTGGGCTTAGAAAGTTTGCCACTGAAGAGAAGGAACGAGAGGGACAACCTGTACAAGGTAGTGCTGGCTGACAGCAGCTGCAGAGCAGTGCCACTTGCAAAGCTGCATGCGAAATGTTTGAGAAGGAATGAATGGGAGGCTATTTGGTAGTGTTGAGGATGTTAATGGGATAAATGCATTGTGAAGAAAAAAAAAAAATGGCAAAGAAAAAGTAAGTTATTAAAAATCTGGAATCTTGCAAGATTCAAAGAACACAACATTTATTTTACCCAAGAGAAAGTTAGGATTTGGTTTGACCATGTGGGGCCAAAAACACGATGGCTGCTGATCTGTTCACCTGGTGGGCAGGGCAGCCATTGCAGCACATAGCTGCCCCACTGGGGAACAGGAGCTAGGCGATCTCAGCCTTACAGTAGAGCATTGCACTGCACATGCTGTACAATGCCACAGGACTTGCTTTTGTAAGTGTTTATAATGATAAATGCAGTTCACTTTGTTTTAGGTTTGGCTGACAATGGGCTTGTTCTTTGTCCAAATAGTGGATGTAGCAGGGAGGGGAGAAGGTGGAAGGGCTTCTTCTATTACAACACTTTTCAAATGATAAAGCAGCAGGGCCTTTTATTGCAAACTAGCAAAGCATTTTCTTCGCAGACAAATAGCTTTCTCTTTCTGTTTCTAATAGCCTCCAATCTGAGCTGATTTTCTCATTTAATCTTCATTGTTCTGCGCCTTCCTGTGTGTTTGCAGGAGAGAAAGAGCACTGGATTTCACACTGGATTAAGCAGCACAGGCAGCCATAGCTCCTAGTGCCCATGTGGGTATTTCCCCTGCAGAAAGAGCTCACGTGGAGGGGGAGGACATCAGGCTGCAGCACTTGCACCATTTCCACGTGCTGTTGACTGCAGTGACTGTGTGTCACTCTGCATTAGCATCACAGCAGTGGCCCTTTTTTCCTCAGCTGGAATAAAAAGCAGGGCATGTGCATGTGTACTTGTAATGAGCAGAGCCCCAGGCAGCCAGGCTGCGGGTGCAGTGAGGGTTGGCAGCGTCCTGACCTGCTCACGAGGCTCCCCCAGATGAAATTCTTAGAGGAGCTCCCAGGTTTATGGTCTGCCACCCACACCTTGCAGCATCCCATGCCTCAAGAGCATCCCCAGGAACAAGGAACTGGTAGGTGGGTTTCCATTCTTGTGCTTCTCTCTCCTGCCATGGGTTGGCTTTCCTCTTCCTCCCATCATCAGGTAATTGAGTTTAATGGGGTTGGTCAACACAGATGCATTCAGACAAGGGAAAAGCTGCCTCTGCCAGTAAAAAGGATGTGTGCAGCTCATGGAGGCAGGCTCCTGCTGTCTGCTCTTGCCATATGACTGTGCTGTGTACACCAACATGTGCATGTCTTTTTCTTACATGTACATCAAATCACTGCAAGTGGATGGCCTCAGCAGCTCCCAGAGCCTGTGTTTCTTGTAATACTCTTCCTCCATCCCAAAGGAATGCTGTTAAATAATTTATGAATGAGCTGTGCAGTCTCTCACACTGAGGGCTCAGGCATTCCCTTCAGTCAATAACCCAAGGATGGCCTGGGCAGTTCCCTGGGTTTCTCATTCTCCTGGTGATACAGTGATGATAGCACTCTGGATAATCTCCTTGCTCAGCAGAAGGTGATAATTTTGCCTTTTGTCCTGAAATGGGTCACAGCATTAATCTGGGCTGTGTTATTGTTCACCCACATCCTGCATAGCATGCTTTCACAGGCTCTTTTTCATGAAGTGATCACTGATCATAAAAAAAAAGCCACATATTACTTCCTCTCATAGATCCTACAGAGCCAGTTCTCTTGTGTCTTCTCTCCAGCTCACAGGCTCTGGTGGTTGTTCTGACATCACAAGCTCCTGGCTGAGCCTATACCAACATGGGTAGATACACTGGTGGCTTTTATTCTACTTTTTTTTTTTTTTTTTCCCCCCTCATGAAACTTAGGAAATAAGGACCTTACA